TTTAATGGGTAAACACTAACGATAGAAAATTCTAAAGTTTTTCCACGAGAGATATCAAGTTAACTTAAACTCATTTGTAATAAAACACTTCAAGCGTCTTCTTTACTAGAAGAAATATTTAGAAATGTACTTTTTTGGAAGGTACTATTGATTTATAAGAGTTCGTTAGAATGATAGAACAAAGTTTCTTGAACTCAGTAATCGAATTAAGTAAAAGTTTAAGCGAAGATGTGCTTATTTCAAAATACTTTTACCAGTTCATCATTCTTTTCAGGCAAAAAGATTATTTAGTTAACTCAACCAGTCAGGAAGCTGTGAACATCAAAGACATACTTTACCCTCAAAAAGGGGGTAAGATAGTGGAATTTAAGCCTCAGAACACTGGGATAATACGAAGAAATTGATTTGAGAAATTCGATTGCTCATTGCCATAGGTCAATTAAAATGAGACTATTGATGTTCCTATTACATCATACTTCCCTTTTCATTCCTAGCTGAACCAAATCGTTATTTCGGGTATTCTGTTACCTCTCCATGCTTACAGCCGGCATTGCCATGGAAGACTGGATTTATTGAGGCGGAAATGCACTCCATATGTGATGGAAATGTCCCCGACTAGTCTTCTTTTCGGAAGATCATCTTGAGCAATGCTCATTCGTTATTCAGGGATTATTTCTACTGATTAACATTCCATTTAACTTTCCGATCATAAACTCGCTTTGATAGTAAATAAAAAACCAACAGAATTTAAAAATAAAATAAAATGTTGTCATTGTGTATTTTGAACCTCTGGACTAAAATGTGCTTCAAAGAGTTAAACATACTAACTAGTTTGCGTTATTCACTACACTTGCAAAGATCCTTAAATTAAATATCTGACAGTGTAGAATATTGCTATCTCACCTATTTTTTGTTCAAGAGTTTTGCAGCCCATTTTAATGAGTCATGGGAAGAGGGGTTTCCCCAGAACGCGATGTTTCATGAAACACATTTGTGAAACCTTATCTGATTTGAAAAAAGTGCAAAGACACCGTGAGAGCATATAACTGGCAAATCTTAAATAATAATATCGTTACGAAAGTGTGATTTTTATTTTTATTGACCACGGGAATAAAAAATTGTTGTCATTTTTTAACTTGTGCAAAAGAGATAACAGAGATAATGAGATATGATTGTCAATGTATCAAAAATTGAACTTTCTAAAAAAACTACGTGTAACCTTGAATACCAGTTTAAATAAGACTGGTTTATTTTCCACTTATGAGGCATTTCTCATTAAATAGTATTACCCTCAATAACACGAGAATATATTAATTGAATTTGCCTTAACGCGTCACAAGGGATGACTCAAAGAAGGAATTAAATAATTCAATAAAGATTAGAAAGAGAGATATGGAAATGGACTTTAGGTTTAACTCACATCCTCACAATATTTTGCAAAGCATTTTCTAATTGAGTCAGAATACTAGTTATTTTCCCATAACCTTGAAGGCGACTCATGCAAAGCTGAGGGCTTTGAAAATTTTAGTAAACAAAGCACATTGAAATGTTAATGTCAGGCGGTAAACGAATAAGTAGAACGGGAATCACTACAGAATGTTGATTTCAATATCGATTTCGAAATAAGGACAATTGCTTTTAAATCAGTACAAATCCCCCCCCCCCCGAATTTTTAAGTAGCTTTTTGAATTTTAATCCCTTGGATATTTAGAGTAAGTAAAAAGATATCCCAAGTATGATACAATTTGGCAAAATGTAGCAGTTGTGACTTTCATCCAAGTTGCGAAATGTGCTTTCGATACATAAATAGTAAAATCCACGTTGATGAATACTTAGTCGGGAAATACCGATTTCAGCTAACATTTAACTTATTTAATTCATTTAAATTTTAGAAATCGTGTACTAAGTTAAGTTGAAGTATAAAAATTATATTTTTAATCAATTCCAGTGCATATTAAATTTTTACTATATTTTTAAAAAAAGCAAAGTTTTTGTGGTTCTAATGACTAGAATTCTAACTATTTTCAATCTAACCGCTAAAGTGAATAATATTGACATTTGAGCATACCCAAGCTTTGAGAGGAATGGCAAACCTGACAAGGAACTCGTATCCACTTCAATGGGTCCACATAGATCAATGACAAGACCAAGAACTCCACTGACATTCGGAGATGCACAAAGAGCTTTTTACTATTTACTTATATCAAATGGCAGGCGTCTTGATGGTTATCATTAGCCCTTTAGTTGACTTCAGGCTTCACAGAGGGGAAGAAACATCAAATTGAAAAAAAAGTTGAGAGGGGGGGGGGAACAGAAGAGTATTTCAAAGATGTATGAGACAAACACAAAGGTAGAAAAATGGTGAGGTGAGTACTGTGGAAATAGTCGAATATGCCATACAGTGGGGTCATGGCAGTTTGAAGTCAGAAATCAACTGCCCATTGGTAGACTTTTTGCAGTATGAGTATACGTTGCCCAGGGTGTACCACGTGGAGGTAAGTCTATCGCACACCCCAAGAGTTTTATACTATATTGTGGTCTAATGAAATGATAACTTTCGTCACTTATTACTTATTTTTAACTACAGAATCATTTTTATTTTTGTCTATTACATTCATAGAATGGTTGGTTTTATAACAGTAAACAAATATTGAATCTACTTTTTGTAATTATTTGCAATACAGTTGAATATAACTTTGTTTTATTTTACGGTTAAACCCAGCCATCACGAATCTTGCCTGTTTCCGAGAAGGAAAATCATATCTCTGACTGTATCTGTCTGGTTTCCAATTTTGCTGTGTTTAAAAAGCATATTTTCTAAAAAAACAAAATGCCTATTTTATACGGTATACTCTCGTGGTGATCATATAAATACCGAATAAAGCAGCAAAAGTTTTTGACATGCATACGCAACACATTTTGTATTGTGGAATCATCTTTTATAGCAATTTGGATAATGATACTTGAAAAATGACAGTACTATTGGAAGTGACCATTCCTAACAAAGAACGAATTTGGATTAGTATTGCACCTGTTTCAAAATATCATCAATTCATTATCGATCTACCACTTTATTCGTACTTTAGCGATTTATATGATAATATTTCAAAGCTTAGACGTCATAATTTAAACTCAAGGCTTCTAAGTGGGTTAATGTCCCCCCCCATAGGTAGATCTTTTTACAATTAAATCTATAGAAGAACTGCCAATTACTGGCAATCAATTTGAATCAATTTAACTGCCATTTTCGGATTCGGCCCTGAGGACTCGTCAAGATGTGAAATAAAACAGTTAGCATATACATTTTGATTGGAAACTGATTTTCACTCAAAAAATCAATAATTATAGTATCTTCCAGAGCATTTTTTACAGTAATTCAAATGAGACATTTCTTTTAAAATAAAGACTCATATAGAAATGCAATTTTTAATTTAGCATCATTTTAGTTTTCTGCAGACTACTAATGTGTCAATTATTTATTTATGTATATCAAATATCAGGCGTTTTGATAGCTATCATTAGCCCATTAGTTGAATTTTGGCTTTACAAAGGGGAGGAATATTATTCACAAAATTTCGAGAGGGTGAACAAATGAGGGATTCGCAGATGTAAAAGAGACAGACACAAAGGTAGAGAAAAGGTTAAGGTAAGGTGAGTACTGTGAAGTGGTGGAATATGGTACACAGTCGGGTCATGGTAGTTTGAATTGAGAATTCAACTGACGGCTTATAGGCTTTTTTGTCGTATGAGTATACATTGCCCAGGTTGTACCACGTGGAGGCAAGTCAATCGCTCACCTCGTGTGTCAAGTGCCAAGTGTGTCGGCCAAAAGTAGAAGAATAAACTATGGTCGGGTAATATTTTTCTCTCCCTGGTGAAGGGGGAAGGTGGAGACAGCCTGACTCACGCGTCAATTTCCACCGATTTTACTAAATAGAATTTCCTCTTTGATTCGCCTCTTCTCCACAGCCTTCTGTTGCGAAGAAAGGGGAAACATGAGAAGCAGAGGTTGGGGTTGGGGTGTGGGTGTGGGAGGGTGGGGGTAAGAAGTAAAGCATATTTCCATGAGTCATAATTACATTTGCCATCCCCCAATCTCTCTGTGTGTATCTTTGCAGCATGTTTTTTTAGCGTGTGTGTGTGTGTGTGTGTGTGTGTGTGTGCAAGACAGACATATTTTAATTAATTTTCCTTGTTGACAAATGAAGAAAATTAGATAAAATAATGAATAAATGAAGGGAATAGGAAAATAATTGGGGACTCAAATTGGATTTACACACTCGAATTAGATTTAATTCTGTTTTGTTTAGCCGGTTTTATTCGCTTTGTCTGAATGCCATGCCTAGATGATTTTCTTCCTGTTCTTCGTTCACTTCTCCTTCTCTCTCTCTCACTCTTCATCCCTCGGATTTCCATAGCTTTTTTTCCAGAGTATTTCCACCTCTCAGTTATAAGAGTTAATTAAACTTTTGTTGATCTAACGATTTATATTTATAGTGCTTTAATGCTGGCCTTAGGTTAATTGAAATTTAAGCTATCGCGTGTTTGCTATCTTAAAACTTTAAAGAAAAAATGAAGTATCAATACTGACCCACCTTGGTTAAATGAGACTGCCCAATAAGTATCGATTATATATTAAACACATAGTTACTGACCTCAGGAGTTTGAATTTAAGAACACGAGTTCCGCATTTAGTAACTATTGCATAGCCTTAATCCAAAAATTGTAAAAGGTAAGACCTTCTAACATCTCACAATCCTTCCAGCCCCCCTTGAAAACACCTCCCCTTTGCCAATTGTCAAAATTTCTATTGTACCATGTCAGCTGTTTCCCATAATTAAATGCAGGAAATTATTTTGTTTTTCTCCGAATAAAAGTACAAATAAAACAATCAATAAGCTTGACTCCCTACCCATATCATGTTATAAAAATTTTTGGTTATCACATTTAATTAAATTTTTAATTTAAGTGTGTCTGATGCACAGCATTTTAGTGAAACTATGACCTCTTTTCAAATAGGAAATGACTGGGACTCCTTTCCCGTGGTTAGTTCAAAGTTCCATCAAATCCGACATGTAAGAAAACTTTTTGAAGCATAAAAGAATCAATACTTGACTAAATTCTGCTCAACTTAGGGAAGGTTTTAAATTTTTTATAATGAAAGCATATTTAACAAGAATTTTTCGTCGATAAAACACAGAGTGAATTTTGATTTCATGTGCTTTTCCTATTTCACTTACTATCGTGGCTGAACTGTTATCTTAATCTAGTCACCTGCATACCTATCTACCACGGCTGGCAAACATTCCATCAAGTTGTCTGCTTTTCCAGATCATACCATTATATTACATCCCTCATCCACTATTTACAGGATCTTCATCTTCATATCATTTCCCAATTTGAAGTTTCCCAGCCAATTGGGACCGCCTACATCACTCGACTAGAAGATTCGAAGGGCATCTTGGAGCCTCCCTTACGAGAATCGCGTATTTTAGTACACATTGAGGTTCTTCCGTCAATATTTATAAGACAGCCTCAGATGAGGAGATGGACATTCAAGCATATTTGCCAAGACATTGCACACTACCCACTCTCAGAATAAGGATTATCCTATTTACACTCTAATATTTATTTATTTATTTCAAATGGCGGGCTTTATGACACTTATCATTAGCCCTTTAGCTGACTTCGGGCTTCACAGAGAGAAGGTTCATCAAAGTTGCAGAAAGTCGAGGGGTGGGGAAGAGAAGAGCGATTCACAGATGTAAAAGAGGCAGACAGACACAAAGGTAGAGAAAAAGGTAAGGTGAGTACTGTAAAGGGGTCGAATATGACAACCAGGGGGGTCGTGGTAGTTTG